TTCTTCTATTTTTTTTGTGTGTGTTCTGAGTTTTATATATATATATATATATATATATATATATATATATATATATATATATATATATATATATATATATATATATATTTAAGTATTTACATTTTTTTACATTTTATTGTTTACAGTATTTCGCGTATGTGTCCTTATAAATCCAAGTTACTAGCTATTTAACAATTTATCATTATGCCTGTATTAATTTGGCTATACATGTAATTGTTTATGTTATTTCTCTTGTTACATTTATTAGCGTGTAATTAGCCAGTGATGTAATATAACATTCGGTGTTAACTTTGCCATACATTAGTAATTATCTATGCTATTTTTTTGTTATTATTATAACTGTGCTATTTGCTGGTAGAACAATGTATCATTTTATATTAGCTTAGCTAGCTTAACTCATAATTACATATGCTATTTGTTTTGTTACAATATAAATATGATATTAGCTAGTTTTATTTCTATAAATACATACAGCATGCTTAATTATTAACGTGACGTTCTTACATATTTATTATCATACATCATACTCACTACTTAATTCAATTTTTTTTTAATCTTTTAATTATACACTTTGGAACCATTTTCTTTTAGTACCTTTTTTCGTGAACCACTCGGCAAATCCGAGGAAATGAATGCGACTGTCATTGTCGTTGATTGCCTTTGTTAGAGTATATTCATTGAGTGCAAAACCCATGCAGCGTTCGCAATCAAATCTTCTTACTACATATTTGGGACAATCGATTAATATGTGCTCTATAGTTTGCGATGTAGTTTGATCGCAATCACAACATGGACTTTGCGCTAACTTAAACTTATGCAAATACGCTTTAAATCCTCCATGGCCGGTAAAAAATCTGACATCGTTGGTTATTAATATGAACTTTCGTCATGGTCTTATATGCCTGAGTTACTGATGGGAAGAATTTCTTCGTCACTCGTCCGGTTTCCGCTGTGGTGTAACGTTCTTGCCAGTTTTGCAAAGTATTGTCCCTGATAAGGCGCTTTGCGAACGGTAGGGGAAGCAGTCGAATGCTGGTTTTTGCTTAGAAGTTTCAGCAGCTGATTTGACTAGTTCGTCAGCCCTTTCGTTTCCTGGAATCCCGCAATATGCCTTTATCCAGAAAAATCTCACTTCACCTTGATTTATTTTTATTTCTAATATCCGATCCAAGATTTCTACTGCAAGAGGGTGTAGGGTATTAGGGTTCGTTAGACATTCGAGTGCGGATTGAGAGTCACTTAAGATGTTCGCTTTCCTGAGTGTGTGTTTGCTTTGTATCACTTCTGTGGCTTTCAAAATGGCAGCTAATTCTGCTTGATACACACTACAGTGGTTTCCTAGTTTCAATCTTGCTTTGTATATTTCCCGGCCTTCCTTCCAACAGGTAATGGCAGCACCTACTCTACCAGCTATTTTGCTGCCATCCGTGTAGATACAAGGCCATTCATTTTCCATAGATTTTAATTCGTGTACGGTTGTGATTGAACTGTATGATAGCTTTTGTCGTTCTGCTGGGTGAGGTAGAGTGTATGGGCTAACATGTTTCGCTAGCTCCCTGCCGGGTAATTGCGGAAGTGGTTTCCCTATTTTTATTTTGTACAGTTCAGCATTTTCTTTTGCTCTTTAATCCAGGGGAAGGATTCTGGCTAATGTGACACAAGAGACCATGGAGGATGTGCGGTGTGCTTTACTTATCATGATGCTAAATGTCCTGGTTATTCTGTTCAGCCTAGTCTTTATTTGCTTTTTATCTGCTACAGACCCCCAGGCCCCAGCAGCATAAAGGACTGTAGGTTCAACTACAGTAATATAAATTGTCCTGAAAATTTCTGTGTTAAGTTTCCAGTTCGCTCTCGCTGTTCTTGCCACCTTCTTGTAAAGCTGTATCGCCTTTTCTGAAGTTTTATCTACGTGTTTTATGAAATTAAGATTGACGTATATTGTGAGTCCGAGAATCGTGATCAGTAAATTTTATTTCGATGTTGTCGAGTGTTAGTTTTGGGTTCTCGAATTTCCTCTTTTTAGTTATTACAATGGCCTGAGTTTTATGGGCTGCCAATTTCATTTTACGCAGCCTGCCTCACATTAGTATATGGTTTAAATTCGGGTTAAGCTTATTCTCGATCTCTTTTGCTGTTTTCCCTTTGGATATTAACATAATGTCGTCCGCGTATGCCTGAATATGTGGTCCTTTTTCCCCAATTTCTCTTAGTAGTGGGTCTAGTAGTAAATTCCAAAGAAGTGGTCCGCAGGTAGAGCCCTGTATACATCCGTTATTGGTTTGCCTAATAATTTCGTTACCTGCGTACGTAAGTTTTATAAGCCTATGAGAGAGATAGCTACTTATTAATCTGTATATGGATTTGTCTACTTTTTTGTTTTAAAGCTCGTTGATCATGGCGGGCCACTAGGCGTTATCGAAGGCACCTTCGATATCTATGGAGACGACTACAACTATTTGCTTGTCATTTATGCCCTGCTTTATAAACTCTAGCGCATCGTATAAAGCGTCTTCGGTAACTCTCTGCGCAATGAACCCGTACTGTCGACTACTCATTCTGTTCTCCGATCCCAGCTGCCACGACAGACGATTGACGAACAGCTTTTCCAAGACCTTTCCCAGAACGGGAAGAAGTCCTACAGGTCTATATGACTTAGGAAGGGTGTAATCCTCTTTGTTTGCTTTAGGGATAACTCTGATTACAGCTCTTTTCCAAGCTCCTGGGAAGTATCCGATTTCCAAGCATCTGTTGAAGATAGCTAGGAGAACCGGAGGAGTGGCCATAGAGGCTTTGTAGCAGATATCTGCGGTTAAACCATCCTCTCCCGGTGATTGCTTTGGACTCATGGTTTTGAAAATCAGTTGCAGTTCAGTATTTGTGAATTCTATTATAGAGTCTTTATTGTTGCCCCATTCCTTCCTTTGTGTTTCAGTATTACGTCTAATTTCAACATGTATTTGTTCACCAGATTCAGTGTCGTCCGTTGGGTAGAAGGTTTCGGATAATAGCTCTGCTGATTCTGCTGGGGTCTTTATTGTACCGTTCGGCGTCTTCCTTAACAGAGTATCTCCTGAGTTCTTGTTGTATTTACGTATGACCCTGTATATGCCCTGCCACATGCTCTCCCGATCTTGCCTACTGCAGAATTCTTTCCAACTTGAGGTGATTGTTTCAGTGAGAAGATTTTTATATTCTGTTTTAGCCTGTATATATTCGTCAATTATTGTTTGTTTTCTACATATTTTCATTTGCGAATCTGATCCTCCTCCTTTTCCGAATAACCTCTTTTTTCTTCTCGTCTAGTTCCTTAGTCCACCTTAGATTTGTCGCAAGAATTTTGAATGCATTTAAAATACTGGGTGACTAGGTTCTCTAAAGCGTGTGTGCTTGGTGTGTTTCTGACTTCTTCCTCGGTGATATTGTAAATTTCCAGTTCCGCTTTCAGATTAGAGGCAAAGTCTGTCTAGTTAGCCCTACTTGTATTGTATATACGCGTAGATTTTCTTTGAATGCCTTCTTCTGGTGAATTGTCAACTTTTATATTGTATGTAATTGTCCTGTGGTCTGAAAGCGTGACAAAATCTGGATTAACAATCCAATTGTTTATTTTATGTAGTAGGCTGCATGAACATGCGGTTATGTCTACGATGCTTGTGTAGTCTTTATTTGCCCTGCGCGCCAAGAAAGTGGGTGTCCTTCCCACATTCAGTATGTTTAGTTCAAGCTGGGCCAACGCTTCCGAAACGGCTGTGCCCCGTCTATCCTCCACGTTCCAACCCACCCAGGGACTCTTTGCATTGATGTCCCCTCCTAGTATAACGTGCTTGGTATTTAGGATGTTTAGGAATTTTGCTATTTTTCTTATGTCTTTGTGCGACGTCTTGGTTTCCTTCCATATATGTGTTTACAATTGAGATTTCAAAATCTTTCATTTTAAATTTAAATGCATCAATGTTTTCCGTTATTGTTTCTGGATTAACAATTAATTGTATATTTGGTATCAACGACAATGACAGCAGATTTGACGGGTTTTTGGGTGTCGCTGGTATGTTTTGTATAACTCTATATTTACAGTTAACATGTGCTTTGGCCCCTACATAGGGTTCTTGGGTTAGTATGATCGATACCTTTTGAGTTTCAGCCGCTTGCAAGCATTCCTGGAATGCTGCGTATCCTCTACCAAGGTTGATTTGTGCGATTTTAATTGTGCTGTCCTTTACGCATTATGTCCTATGTGGGAGGGAATCGGTGTCTTTAGCAATATGTGACAGTTGATCTAGCTATCCGATCCCATTTTCGCCACTCTAGGCATTCAGGGCTGTATGCAGGGTGAGCACAATTAATTTCGCTACGCTTTTTATCTATGCAATTTATGCACTTGGGTGATTTGTTTCTGTTCTGTTAGCACTCCCTTGTGTCGTGTGCTTTGGCGCAATAGCCGCAATTCATACTTTGAGCCTTGCATTCCCAAGCTCTGTGAGAAAATCCCAGACATCGATAACATTGAGTTGTAGGCGATTGATCAATGGCCGGTACTACTTGGAAGCCGATTCTGATCTTTTGATCTTTGAGTTTTCCATATTTGTGGGTTTACCTCCAAGACTACGTTGCTTGTAGAGCTGGTGCGGCCTTTAGTTCTCCTAACTACTTTAACATGTAGTTGTGACGTTGCTACATCGTGCAGGAGAGCTCTATTCTGTTTTATAATAGCCTCTTCAATCTTCTTGTCTGTGAGGTCGAAGACCACGCCAATCAGTCGCAAAAGTGGGTTCTTTGTAGTCGGCCTGCAAGCAGTTAGATTGGCTGCAGTGCTCCTTAGTTTATCCTGAAGGATGTCTCTGTCCTTCTCGGACTCGCAACTAATGAGTACTTTTTGGTTCTTTGCCTTTTTTATATTACTAACGCCTATGCCCAGCTCGACTACGTCGATCCCGCTCTTAACCTGTTTTATTATATCTTCACTTGTGCTTCTCGGGTCAATTGAATCTACCAATATTGGGTAGTGTGGCTTTCTCAGGACTTCCGAGAAGGTGAGTGGGGGGGGTTCTATAATTATGCGTTGTTGAGTGATGTTTTTGTTCCTGATCATTAAGGTCTTGTGATTTGCATTTATATTCTGAAAGATCTGCTTCCCCGACATATAACTGGTTTTTCAGCTCTTTCCTGAGGCTTTCTATTGCTAGTCGGATTGGGGCTGCTGAGTCCACTGTGATATCTCGTAGCTCTCTGTTTTCCCTTCTGAGTTCTTCTAAGTTTGCTTGAACCGAGGGCAACGGAGAGTTAGAGGAAGTGACAGTTAGTTTTTTGATGTCTTTGGACATAGAATTAATTTCCTCTCGTATTTCGGCTACCTCTGCATTTATTTGCATTCTCAGGTCAACAACTTGCTGGTGGAGTAGTTCAGTTTTTTGGTGTTGTTGTTCCACACTCTCCTGATCGCGAAAATCTTGTGTAAGAGCGCTGCAAGGTGGCTGAGTAGGTTCCTTCCTCAGACCGTATTCGTTGACTACTCGACGAAGTTCTCTCAGCTCTTCAACAAGATGAGTAGAGTCTGATTCTTGCCGAAATTGCTTCAAAAGAGAGTCAATGTTACCTCGAAATAGTTTAATTTCCTCCGTTAAGGCTTGGATATGATCCTTAATGGGAGGACCTGTGGATATTTCGTTTTTACGTTCACAACCTCTCTTTTTGTTACGGTGACAGCCTCACAAATGTCGTGAGACAGTATTAATCTGGTGGATTCCGTTTCCTTCTGTAATTTCTTAATGTCTTCTTTTAAGAGAGCATACTGTCCTAAGGTTTCGTGCATGTATCTCGCGTGTCTGCGTGAGCCTTTCGGACTCGCGGGAAGTGTTCAGTTTCTGCTTGTTAGATTCAAGCATGTGCAGCATTCAAAAGATATCAAATATCGGTGAAACAAGCGTTGTTTTGTGCAGTTGTGTGTATTCTTTGTGCCAGTGATTGTGTCAGTTGTGAAAAGTAAAGTGTCACAGGGATATTTCAGCAAAACATACCGGCGGTACTGCATAACAGGTAAAATTTTACTAAAAATTTTACATAAAAATGCGTACGCCGCTTATTTAAGATCGACGACCTGCTGATTTTAATATCTATTTTTAATGGCACTCTGAAAGCTCTATAATATAGCGTGATTTGTGGATTTTTTTCGCTTATTAATTTTCGAGTTATTGGGCGAAAACTGAAAAACCACGTGGCACGGAAAATTTAAACCGCAGTCGTGCGGCTAAATTAGAATACCTATCAACATATCACACACTTAAACCGACTTTTTTCGTTGGTTACACATAAATTGGCATTGCACTCTAGAAGATATAGCCAAAAACGCAAAATTATTAAAACCAATTCAAATTCACATTATCTGAATCGACGACTTATCATTTTTATTTTATAAAATAGTCGCAATACTAATTTTTCGAGCGAATACTTTTTGAAATATTAGAATTTTCCTGAGAACACTAAGACAGGCTCCATGTTCCTGCATGCTGGCGATACTTCTTTCACAGCATAATCCTGCAGCACTAAGAACCAAAAAGGAGTTCGTTTTCAGAACGCTACTATCACCTTTCACCAGAAAGTTATTCAAATTTCAGTGTTTTTTCAGGAAATTTCAGTACATGTTAGTTCTTCCCTTACAAAATATCACCAACGGTTTGGTCGTGAAATTCTACATAATTACAGCCCAAACACGACTATCCTACCACCTCCCGTTGCCGAGATATAAGGATTTATCATTTTTCTACTATTTCGTCCGCCGCTAACCGCTAATCACAGAAGCGTGAGACTTTCGATATATACCTTTAATTTGTCAGCTAAATAATCTGGAATCAAAAACCCCAATCGCCAAAAATCACACAAACTGGCAATAGAATAAAATAGTTAGTGCAAAGACGATTTGAACAAGCCCAAACACGACTATTTTGTCATAACTGAAGAGGGAAATATACCCTTTTTTAAAATATCGACCACCATCTTGGACCGCCATCTCGCAAAAACAAAACTCGTTATAACTTCGGAACCGTTGATTGGATTTGAACGCGGTTTTCAACAGAAGCAAAGGCAAACGGTCCTCTATTATTTTAAGCTATTCTCGAAATCACTCGACCCGGCCAAGTCATCCGCCATCTTGAAAACTTTCAAAGACTCATAACTTCGTCCTATCTAAGTCGATTTTATCGCAATTTTTGGTTATCTAAACGGCTTTTAAAGTACTATCCCTTACCTCCAAACAGAGTTCCATCACTCGTTTCACCCACACTTCTTCTGGGGCTAGCGAAGTGGAAAGAAGCGTAATGCCGGATAAATCGAAAAGATCAACTTCTAGCTGCTCTAGAAAACCGCAAGCACTAAAAAAAGAAGACAATCACAAAAGAGTTAAAAGACTCTGGACGAAGCAGCGCAGATAAAAAAGTATCAGAACAGACGAGTCGGCAGGCACTCGATGGGAAGCCCGTAAAACCCACAGAACAGAGGACCGTTGAACTTCAAGGAAGTAACCTTGGAGGAGCACGCGATGAAAGGGCGGTAGAAGAATCAGACACTCCAGACCTGCTCTCGTCATCGCCCAACCTAGATGAAACGACAACGTCCTGTCCAGTGCTTGCGAGGCCAGGCTCGAATCTTCTTCGGATACGTACACAAATAAGGCAAGCGAAAGCTGCTGAATCCAGGGACGCCTTAAAAGCCGTGTCCGAGACGGAGGATACCGCTGACTCGGACGTCGACAGCGGAGACACAAACACCTCTCTGGACGCCTTCACACGATCCATTAGAGGAAATTGAATGCTTCTAAATGAGTTACCCAGACATGCGAACGAAATATTCCAGCGAACTAAGGCAGAGTTAGAAAAGTCTAGCAACTTAAAAAGAGAAATTCGAGAAAGTGTCGTGTCGGGGCTATACATATTATACGAAATGGTCCTTAAAATATCTGATTCAAGAATGCTGCTTGAAGTTGTTGACGAGTACGTTTACCTAAGTCAAATAGTCCGACCAGGTAAGTCCAACTTCGACCGAGAGGTCAATCGACGGATTCAACTCGGCTGGACAGCGTTCGGGAAATTACGACACATCTTCTCGTCAGGTATCTCTAAGAACTAAAGTGTACAACCAGTTCGTGTTGCCAGTGATGACTTACGGATCAGAGACGTGGTGCTTCACTGCTGGCCGTATTAAGACGCTCAAGGTCGTTCAGCGAGCTATGGGGAGGGCTATGCTGCGGAGTTTCTCTGCGTGATAGACTCAGAAATGAGGATATCCGCAGTAAAACCAGAGTGACCGACATAACCCAACGGATTAGTAAGCTGAAGTGGCAATGGACCGACCATATAGCTCGAAGAACCGAGGGGGAAGAAAAGTTCTCGAGTGGCAGCCTTGTACCGGTAGGCGTAGTGTAGGGCGACCCCCCACTAGATGGAGTGACGTCCTGGTAAGACATGCAGGAAGTCGATGGTCGATGGATGCGGGTGGCTCAGGACCGTGATTTGTGGCATTACTTGGGGGAGGTCTATGTTCAGCAGTGGACTTGTGAAGGGCTATAATGATGATATATATATATATATATATATATATATATATATATATAGGGGGATAAGTCGCTCGCGTCCGTAGGCTTTGACAACCTGTTCCTAGGCCCACCCTACACGTGTCCCACGGGTGGTGCTAAGTGAGCGATAGCACAGACTCGGCTCCTCGCCGTGGTAGCGGCGTAAAATATACTACCCCATATTTCGCACCATGACTAACCAAATAAAGGAAATGGCCCCGAGTTCCCGGCGCCCCTTTAATGGGGCAGGGGTGCGAAGAATCTCCGGGAGGAAAACCGGCGACGAGGTTCGCCACCCGTTACGTTTTGTCTCCCGGAGAGGCGAAAAGTGGATTGCAGAGGCCCGTCTGGCTACGTTGAATGTATGTGGGGCAATGAATGATAAAATGGATGAAGTATGCGATATGATGTATGATAGAGGAATAGATGTGTTATGCGTAAATGAGACGAAAAGGAAGGGGAAGGATGTCACTACACATGGCATGTATACCGCATACTGGTCTGGTGTAGACGAGATCGAGCGGGCATGCCAGGGAGTAGGTATCATCCTTTCAGAAAGAATGGGCCAATGTCTGAAAGAGTATGAATGTGTAAGCCCAAGACTGCTATGGATACGAATGAAAGTGGGCTTAAAGAAGTTGTTCGTGTTAGGGGTCTACGCCCCAGACATGTCTAAGCCTACTTATATCCGAGAGCAGTTTTGGGAAATGGTAAGGATGGTGTTAATGAAGTGTAAGGGAAATGAAAATATTATTATGCTAGGAGATTTTAATGGAAGGGTTGGGGTGAGGAGGCTTTGTTATGAAAGGATATTGGGAACGTTTGGTGATGAAAGTATAAATGAGAATGGTGAAAGTCTCCTCACCGTATGTATGGAAAAGAATCTTTTTGTGACGAACACTTGCTTTCGCCACAAGAGGATTCATATGTATACTTGGGAAAGAGGTGACGATAGAAGCATGATAGATTTCATAATTGTGGATGAAAGATTGAGGGGTGCAGTGGTGGATACAAGGGTTTACTGGGGTTCTAACGTAGGAACGGATCATTATTTGGTATTATGCCGAATTAATGGTCTATTCAGGCGTTGGCGTCATCGGTCATCTGTGTCTACCACTGCGCTACAGCGTATTAGAACAGAAAGTTTGCAAGATGAAGGTGAGAGAAACAAGTTCAAATGTAGACTGAAAGAAAATATAAGTGGTTTGAATGAATTATGTATGAAGGAGTTAGACTTGGAGAATGTATGGCAAAATGTAAAAAAAGGTTTAGTGCATGCAGCTACCGAAGTATGTGGTGTTAGTAAGAGAAAGAATGAAAGGAAAAATAATACGTTATGGTGGGATGATGAGTTACGTATGGAAGTTGAAGCAAATAAGAGAGCATGGCTAGATTTACTAGCAACAAAGACTGGTAATTCTAGTGGTACGAATGATGATATTGAAAGAAAAAAGGCAGTCTTTAGACATCTTAATAATAGAGTAAAAGAAGTAGTTGAAAGAAAAAAGCAAGAAAGAACGGATAAGAATGATAGAAGAATATCGGATAACTTCCAGGCAAATATTAAAATGTTCTGGAAACTGGTAAGAACTGCCAGGGGACATTCAAAACAGCCTATGATGAATGCTATAAGAGACGAGAATGGCTATATTCTGAATGATGAAGTTTTGAGTTTAAAGAGATGGAAGGAATATTTTGAAAGCGTGTTTATGAGTGAGGAGACAACATGAGTACTAAGTGAAGTAGAAACTTCGAAAGAAGAGGAAAGAGGTAGCGAGATAAGTATAGATGAAATAATGAAAGCAATGAAAAGCATGAAAGCGGGTAAGGCGCCCGGCTATGATAGAGTTTCCCTCGAAATGCTAAAGGCTGGAGAGGAGGTGGTGGAAGGCCTGCTGCACACCTTGTTTAATTTATGCTGGGAACTGAAGCGGGTACCGGTAGACTGGTGCAAAGCCATGATAGTCCCAGTATATAAAGGAAAAAGGTCGCAGCAGGACTGTAAAAACTACCGTGGCATCAGCCTTCTTAGCATTGTGGGAAAACTGTACGCTAAGGTACTGATTGAAAGGGTCATGAAAGAAACTGATGGAAAAATTTGGGATGTGCAAGCGGGATTTAGAAAGGGAATGGGATGTACAGATCAAGTCTTTTCCATGCGCATGATCGCGGAGAAGTTTCTGGCCAAAAACCAAAAGGTTTTTGTGCGTTCATGGACTTGGAAAAGGCCTATGACAGAGTGGATAGGGATTTGCTATGGCAAACACTGAACTCATTTGGGTTGAGCGCTGGCTTGATACAGGCATTGGAGTCTCTTTATAGGGACTCTAGTGCTTGTGTTAGGATCAACAGGGTCTACTCGGACTGGTTTGACATCCATAAAGGTGTCAGACAGGGATGTGTGGCTTCCCCGTGGCTGTTCAACGTATTTATGGACAGTTGTTTGCAAAATTTGAAAGTTGAAGAATTCGGATTAAGAATGGGTGAGTTAACCGTCAAATGCCTTTTGTACTCCGATGATCAAGTTATTCTTGCGTCGTCGGCGGCCGAGTTGCAAATGATGGTTACATTAATGAACGGATCATTAAAAGAAAGGGGTATTAAAGTGAACGCAAGTAAGACGAAGGTTATGGTTTTTGAAAGAGAAGAAAGTAAAACGATTTGTGAAATAAGAATAGAAGGGGAGTTGATCGAGCAAGTAGATGAGATATTTGGGATGTGTATTTACCAAGGGATGGTAGATATGATAAGGATATAGAACGACGAGTGAATGCGGGAAATAGAGTAAATGGGGCCTTGCACTCTATTGTGAAGAGACAAAATGTGTCGAAAAAGGCACGTATGGCAATTCACAATGCTGTGTTGGTCCATACTTTAACGTATGGTAGTGAAAGTTGGGTGTGGCAGAAGAACCACGAGAGTAGAATAAACGCAACAGAAATGCGGTCGTTAAGAAGTATGTTAGGGCTGAATCTGAATGACAGGGTAAGAAATTGTCTAATAAGAGAAGAGTGTGGTTTGCAAGATGATGTTGTAACCAGGATTAAGAAAGGAATGCTTCGGTAGTTTGGTCATGTGGAAAGAATGAATGAGGAAAGAGTGACAAAGAAAATTTATGTTGCAGAAGTGAATGGCAGAGTCGGAAAGGGACGTCCAAGGCGAAAATTTATCGACCAAATTGGCGATTTATTGGAAACGGGCCAAATTAGGAGTTCCCTTAACCGACGAGCATGTATGCGTAGGTGCATGGATGTGAAGGAGGCGAGAGAGGTGTGTCAGGATCGTGCCAAATGGAAATCTGACAGGCGTGAGTGTTTATGGATAGACTTATATATATATATATATATATATATATATATATATATATATATATATATATATATATATCTGTGAGTTTGTAAGGAGGAATGCTATGACTCATTTCAGCCACTCAATTTCACCATCGCACATCGCAACAAAATTCAAGATACAAATCATACCATCTGGATGATCAGTTGTACACCATTGTGCGATTTACACGAAGTTTACTCGTACCTCTTCGCATAACATCTCTGTGGAATGGATTACCACTAGCAATTTTTTCGGACCAATACGTTTCAGGGACTTCCAAAAAAAGATCCCACGCTTTTTCAAAAGGCCGGTAACGCATCTGCGATTCCCCTGGTGTTACAGTTTTTCATCGGCGGTGGTAGTCACTTACCATTAGGTGAACCGCATGCTTGTTTGCCTCCTCTCATAAAAATGTGTATAGTCAGGGTAGTTGTGAAAGTAATAAGGGAAAACTATCACTTTTCTTTTATATTTATTTTATTACTCGTCAACTTATTGGCGGCTATAAAACAACTAAATATGTTATGTGTTTATTACAGCAGACTTTTACACTATTCTAATCATAATTACTTCTTATATTTACGCGAACACTACATATATAAATAAAACTATATTTTACGGACTTTATCGCGTATATTATCTTATCTTATTTTCGAGCACTTTACGGGGACTAAGGTGTTCGACGTCCCAATATCATAGCGCACCACGGCTACCTCCAGGTTAATTTTTTTTTTCTATCTACCCAATATGAACTTTGTATGTTGAAGTCTTGCGGTTGTATGTTTAGGTTGTTTTTTTTTTACTTTTTTGTCTCGCTAATCATCTAATCGCCAAAATACTCTCACCGCTCAGGGGCATACAAGAGCACACACAAAGGATCCCTACCATTTTTTCAGCGGGGTATATTTGATAAACAACGAAACTGTGGTCAATTTTGATTAGTAGTCATTATTCACACGCTTACCTTTTAAAGACTGGGTTTCAATCTTAACCAGAAGGCCAAAAGAAAAAACATGCCCGTAGAATATG